TTCTCTGGCATGTGTCATTACCTTACCTGATCTTTCTGTGATCGCACTGATCTAATATTGTTGTATACAGGCATAAGTATCCCTGGCCTCAGTCTCTCTGTTAAAAAGACCTTATATTTTTAAAGGTTTGAAAGCTCATGGGAAAAGCCTAAACAGAATTTTAAATACTAAGAATGAGCTAAATGTCTTTCCTCTTCTCTTTTCAGAAATCAGACAAACTACAGGTAATTTTTAAAACACAGATTTTAGAACTGGTAAAATATATTTATTATCTTGCTTAAATTATGCAGTAATACAATTTAGCTTCTTTTGGCCCATAATTTGGTGGATATTGACTCTGTTATTTTATAAATTGGTAGAAGTATCACAGGACTACACACCCTAGGATTCCATTAACATTGAACCATGGCAAGTCTTCTCCATCTTCAGTATGACATGTGGCATGCTTCAATGTAGAGTTTTAGTAAACTAAAATATATATATTTAACCTTGTTAACTTTTGGGTTGTTCTCTGGCTCTGAGTCATTAATTGCTTCAAAATTGCATGAGTGTGCTATTTTATGTATATTTATGTATTTTTATTGTGTTGCATTTCTTCCTAGTGGAAGATTCTATATGCAGCATTTTCAGCTTTTCTGTTATTTCTCGGTGACAGCCAGCTTTAGTTACTCCTCCTTGCAATATTTCTAATTGGATGAATATGAAGATACTCATTGGAGCAAATAACTTTTCTTTTTTCTCTCATAGCACTGTTCCATCCTATGCACAAGTCTGTTGCACAAAGTGAAATAAATCCATAAATCTTGTGTGACACATGCAGAAACTTCAGCATTATAACTCATCCATTAAAGCATTGTGCAAATCCCATGAACGTTTTTGAAGAACAGTGCTAACAGCTAATTCTTTCTTCCACTCAGAATTCTTTTAATCCCAACCATTATTTTTGCTGTGAAGTGTACAAAGGAACCATAGCAAATGCTCTTAATGCACAGTCCATTTTTGGCCATTTAATCTTGAGCCTTTACATCTTGCTAAGAATTCTGGCTCCCTCATCGCCCAGAATGTGAAATGGGAGGCAGTTCTGTCTGCGGATAAAGCCCAGGAAGATCCCTATCATAATAGGCAATGGGTTTCTGTCTTGCTCGAATTCAGACCTTTACAAACTGTGTGTCATGACTTCTTAGTGTCAATTTCAGTGTGTAGATTTGTCACACCAAATGTCTTAGTCTACGTGAAATATGCAATTAATCATATATTTTTAGAATATACATAAGATACGTTGGGTCCCCATACTTTTCATGAATATAATTTATATTTGTGTCCATATCTCTAATAAGACCTGGTTTGCTAGTGAAACTGAATTACTGTGTTGCGAAATGATGCATGTCTTAAAAAGTGTGTCAACACAAAAAGTTTGGAAAGCCCTGATCTAGTTAATGCCAAGCAGAATGATGGCAAACCTATACCAGTTATGGATTTTAAAAACCCATGTCATCTATTCTAGTCTTTGTACCAGAGGCATTTTACTTGGAAACACAAGGGATGTATGTATTATATTGTGAGTGCTTACAAGTATTGCCAATTCTCTTTACAGCCTCAGTTTTATCAGATGATATATCTATAGTTTAATCCTGTACGTGTTTGTTAAGAAGTACATCCTAGTATAGTCAATGGATTTTACTCCTAGGCTATTAATATGATTGCAGCTCAAACTTCAAACCTCCATTTTGCTTTTCCAAATGCTCTCAAACACTGCTACAGAGTCAACTTTTTTGGTGTGCTGCCGGGCTCCATTACGCACACAGAGATTCCAGCTGCTGCTGCTTCCCACCTCATGCTTCCAATTATAGACGCAGTTCACAGGGAAGGTGTCCTGGCTATTGTCAACACAATTTGGAGCTCACAGCGGCTTCTGGAGTCTTTTTTTTCTAATTCTCAGAAACAGGAAAAAGAAAAGTCCAGAGGGCAGGTTTTGTTCTCAGGTTGTTTAGCTCTGTGAATGTCTGTCCTCTATTTCACATGAAAGCCACCAGTCTCTTCTGGGATTCTAATTTTAGAATCCAATCTACAAGGTGCGGAACAACTTCCATTTCCAGGAGAGAGGGAAAAACACGAACACTATTTTTAGGGATTTTGTAAAAATAAACATGATAAGGGTGTTATTTTAAAAATTCCAAAAGACAAGTGGATCCAGACATTTTGAGGCAAAAAATCCAAGGCGCAGATGCCCACTCCGTATACAAGAAATAAAATTATTAAGCCAAGAAGACTCTGTCTAAAGAGTTGACGACTCTGTCTGATGGTAGCCACTTTCAAGGCCGTTCTCATATGATCTTTTCTCATATAATCAGGGGGTAAAGTTACAAAAATCTACTCAATTCAACCAAAGTGATGGAAGAAGCAAAGGCTCATGTGGGAGAAATCTGCAGCATGGCCATACAAAACAGATCCAGCACAAATATTTATCATTTTTCATGGTTCTAGCATGGTTTGAACACCTTGAGCTGAAGGATCTGAAATCAATTCACCACCACCACCAAGGTCCCAGGTTGGGCATTAGGATTTCAAAGATGCTGCAGAATAGGATTTTCCTTTGCTTGCCAATCTTGCATGGTTTGGCCTTGATCCTTTGGTAAGGTCCTGCAGATACTTTGCTCCTTGGTTAATAGGCTATGATGGGCAAAATGCCAGTTGTATGGGACAGAAAATTTCCACGTTACATGGTCTCACTGTCAAAGGATGAATGTAGAGAGCCTTCTTATTGCGGATGCTGGTTTTCTGAGAGCTAGATAAGCAAAGATGAGCATGAGAAAAAACCGTGTTCAATAGAGGCTGTTAAAATAACCAGAGGATATTCTTCAAAGGCTTGCCTATTGAGTGCGAGCGACAAACAACCCATCTTGGGATATTGGGGTTTTTGTTTTTTTTTTTGCAACTGAGAAAATTGGAGACCGTCCTCTCTAGCATAATATGAGAGCTTTGACATTTTGTTATTTATTCATTCAGTCATTTCCGACTCTTTGTGACCTAATGGACCAGTCCATGCCAAAGCTCCCTGTCAGCTGTTGTCATCCCCAGCTCTTTCAAGGTCAAGCCAGTCACTTCAAGGATACCATCCATCCATCTTGCCCTTGGTTGGCCCCTCTTCTTTTTTCCTTCCATTTTCCCCAGCTTCTTTGTCTTCTCCAAGTTATCCTGTCTTCTCATCATAGGGCCAAAGTATTTCATCTTTGCCTCTAATATCCTTCCCTCCAGTGAGCAGCCAGGCTTTATTACCTGTAGTATGGACTGGATTGATCATCTTGTGGTCCAAGGCACTCTCAAAAATTTCCTCCAACACCACAGTTCAAAAGCGTCTCTCTTCCTTCGCTTAGCCTTCATTATGGTCCAGCTCTTGCATCCACAGGTCATTATGGGGAATACAATTACTTTAACCATGCAGATCTTTGTTGCAATGCCCCTACTCTTAACTATTTTATCAAGATTGGTCACTGCTCTCCTCCCAAGAAGGAAACATCTTCTAAATCACCTGGCTACAGTCTGCGTCTGCAGTAATCTCCATGCCAAGAAATTGTCTCCACACTTTCTCCCGATATTTGCCAGTTATTAATCAGTCCGGTTGCCATCATCTTGGGTTTTTTTGTTTAACTACAACCCACCTTTTGCATTTGTACATCTTTGACAATAACTGAGATATTGGAAGGAGCCTCATTGAACAACTTCACCTTCCCAAGTGTCGTGTCAGAAGATCCTTCTCACACTATCTAATAGCAATCACTCATGCTTGCTCAGCATATCTTGCCACTGTAAGATATTCAACTATCTACAATCATATAATATACAATAATATATTTTAGGCAATTTTGTCTTCCAAACCATTTAGAAAGTCCACCAATTGGAAGGAAACACAAAGCCCCACCACATAAGCACACTAGAATAACATCCTTTTATATTCCTCTACTGTCCCTCTCAAAATAAGAAGAAATGACATACTATGACTTGTTACTATTTTGGGAGAGACTTCAACCCAAAAAAGAAATTTGGGTTGCTATGAAGGTGGAAATCTGTAGGAAATTTGCTCCTTGGTCCTCAGTTACTTCAATACAGGCAAAAATGTAAGCAGTCTATGTGTCACTGGCACTTTGGGAGCTAAATCAACTCTCTGGCAGGTACACAGCACATGGAGCTGATTTGGCATAATGTGGTTTTGAATGTTGACAGAAGTCACTAGATCAGTGGTTCTCAACCTGTGGGTCCCCAGATGTTTTGGCCTTCAACCCCCAGCTAGAATTGGTTACATTACCATCCTGCTTTCCATGGACTTGTACAATTTGGGAACAGAAGGTGGCACCTACCTTGCATCCTTGACTTGTTCATGGTGCCCAAGGGGCACAAAATAGAGCGGCTTGGTGCCTAGAGTGTCGATATCTAAAGCACCAAGGAGGTCAGAGAAAGGAGTGGGGAAGTGATTCCTCCTTTTCACCTCCCCTCTCTTGTGTCTTACTATTCCCTCCTCTATTTATCTAGCAGGGCTTTGGAGGCTTGTCTGTCTTTGCACCACATCTTCTCTGGTAGGTTTGATCCATATGGAGCCCACAACCTAAATTAAGTAATGGAAGACAAGAATACTGAAACTAAAAGCAGGACTGTTACATCCAGAGTGATATATATTTCTAATTAAGTCTTGCAGAGTCATCATTGAGACACTCCAACAGCTGAGTCAGCTTTTCAGTGAGCATGATGCTAGTTATTGAAGTCATGAACCACAGTTAGATGCCAGAAAAGTGCTCAGGGGCTCGGTGATAGCCAGATTTACACACAGGCACTAAGTGATTATGGCAGACATACACTTTTTGGCTCACAAGCCATCTGCACCACATATAAGAAATCTTGTTAAAATGAAAGGCAAACCTGCTCTAACTTAATTGCCCCAATTGGTTCATTTGCCCGTTTGAAGTAGATACAAGAATACTATCTAGATAAATAAGTTCCGTCTCTCATTTCTGATGAAAAACACAGTGCAATTCTGTTTGCTTTAATTAAAGCTATTTACAGAAGATTATTATAGCAATAGCTTCTGCAGAACCCAAGGCAGAGATGACGAAGGCAAGATACAATCAATTTTTGGAGTCATTTGACAATGTCTTCCGAGTAGATTGTTTTCCAGGCAATGTTAGAAAAACCCAAGACAGTTTGTTCTCCTTTTGAATGTGCTGAACTATTATATAGAAGAGGGGTGGGCACAAAGAAATCTGAGGACATAATCCCTTTTGTGACCCTGAAGTCCCTACATGGTGTGGTACCTGGTATAGTTTAGGGTGCTTTTGCAGCAAAACCACATAGAACCCCCTCCTGCTCTTGAAAACATATAAAAACACTTCCACTTCATCCTCACAAACATACCAGAATCCCAGCAGCTCCAAATACTTATGTTTATCTCTACAGATCTTCTCAAAGTGACTACAGGAAGTAAACACATGAGCATGAGTGGGATACTGGGACTTATGAGTGTTGTGTGGAGCTGCAAGACGATCTCGGGAGGAAAAATTACCTCTATCCCCCATCCATTTGTTTACCCTGGTTGAGAGGAATGGGAGTTAGGCCTCAACATAAATGCAGGACAAATGGTATGCCCGGGATGCATGAGAAAGACAACATAAATACCATTCAATGCAGGCACATCTGATGGCAACTGGGAGAATCAGTACATGTTGTGTACACAAGACATTAGGAACAGTTCACTACACAATTTGGGAGACTTTTCTTTATCTAGATTCCAGGGCCTTTTTGTCTTTATGAGGAAAAATCTCCACAGCGAAAGGCATGAAGAAGGTTAAGAGAGCAGTCACATCCTTCAGCTCCAAACAATATTCCATCGATATTTTCTCTGCAGTCCAGGTCTGTGGAGAGCGGTGGTGATTAGTAAGAAGTGTCAAGGCTTCAACTACTGAGATTTTGCCTTTTGGAACAGTCTGAACATCCAACTGGCTTAAATTGCCTATGTTCGTAACTCTGCGTTCCTCAGGCTTCAAACGTCCTCCTTTGTTCACCTAGAAGATGGAAAATTTTAAAAGGTTTTATTCTATAAGCATCACATCTACTGCTTCTTTTCAGTTAAAGCAGGGGTCCTCAAACTAAGGCCCGGGGGCCGGATGCGGCCCTTCAAGGTCATTTACCCGGCCCTCGCTCAGGGTCAACCTAAGCCTGAAATGACTTGAAAGCACACACAACAACAACAATCCTATCTCATCAGCCAAAAGCAGGCCCACACTTCCCATTGAAATACTAATACGTTTATATTTGTTAAAATTGTTCTTCATTTTAATTATTGTATTGTTTTTAAGTGTTTTGCACTACAAATAATGTATGTGCAGTATGCATAGGAATTCATTCATGTTTTTCTTCAAATTATAACGTTAATGTGTGTATACCCCGCTTAGCATCTCCCTCTCTCCCGAGGGACTCTCCTGAGCGGCGGCTCACAGGGCCGAAGCCCTCCACAACACAATATACAGTAAAAAAACATGACACAACAAATAGCAAGCAAATCAACACAATAAGCAATTAAACGAAACGGACACCCACAAATACACAAACATTTTATTAAAAACTGCTTCGGCGGCGGCGCGATTGTACAAGGAATTAAAAGGTGCCTGAGGTGGGTTTGGGGGCAAAACGTGGAATTAAAAGTGTGCATGGTGCAGTGGGCTAATTAATTTATGGCTAAGGGTACTATCAGAAATCCAGGTGGGGATTCCTAGGGTAATTCCTAGTTCTGAAGGGCAACAAGTTGGAAACAACCAATTGTTTTTTAATGTTCCTTCGGAAAGCAGCAAGAGAAAGGGGCCTGTTCGGAGAGTCTTTTGGAGGGTGTTTTTTCCAACAGTCGGGGGGGGGGGCGGGCGGGGGGGGGGCCGGGGGGGCGGGGCTTGCTGGCTTTGGGCGTTCCAAGGTCGGGGGGCCGCCACAGAAAAGGCCCTGTCCGTGTCCCCACCAAGCGCGCTTGCGACGTAGGTGGGATCACGAGCAGGGCCTCTCCAGATGACCGAAGTGAGCGTGTGGGTTCGTAGATGGAGATGCGGTCACGCAGGTAGGGTGGTCCCAAACCGTTTAGGGCTTTGTAGGTAAGCACCTGCACCTTGAATTGGGCTCGGAAAATAAATGGCAGCCAGTGGAGCTCCTTAAACAGAGGGGTAGACCTCTCTTGATAATGAGCCCCCGTTAGCATCCTAGCTGCTGCCCGCTGGACCAACTGGAGTTTCCGGGCCGTCTTCAAGGGCAGCCCCACGTAGAGCGCATTGCAGTAGTCCATTCTAGAGGTGACCAAGGCATGGACCACCCCGGCCAGATCAGCCTTCATGAGGTATGGTCGCAGTTGGCGCACAAGTCTCAGTTGCGCAAAGGCCCTCCCGGATACCGCCGACACCTGAGCCTCAAGTGTAAGCGAAGAATCCAAGAGGACACCCAAACTGCGGACCTGTGCCTTTAGGGGGAGTGCAACCCCGTCCAGCACAGGTGACCACCCTATACCCCGATCCGGTTTACGATCGACCAGGAGGACCTCTGTCTTGTCGGGATTGATCTTCAGCTTGTTCCTCCTCATCCAGATCGACACAGCGGACAGGCACTCGCCTAGCACTTGAGAAGCCTCCTTGGAATTAGGTGGAAAGGAGTAGTAGAGTTGTGTGTCATCTGCATAGAGATGGCACCTAACTCCAAAACTCCGGATGACCTCTCCCAGCGGTTTCATGTAGATGTTAAAAAGCATGGGACACAGAATGGAGCCTTGCGGGACCCCACAGGTCAAAGGCCAGGGGTCTGAGCAGGCGTCTCCCAGCTTCACCATCTGGGATCGATCCTCCAGGAAGGATCGGAGCCACGATAAAACCGTGCCCCCGAGACCCATCCCAGAGAGTCGTCCCAGAAGGATACCATGATCGATGGTATCGAAAGCCGCTGAGATGTCCAAGAGAACCAACAGAGTCACACTCCCCCTGTCCAGCTCTCTGCGGAGGTCATCCACCAAGGCGACCAAGGCTGTCTCGGTGCCATGACCAGGCCTGAAACCAGACTGTGACTGATCTAGGTAGTTGGTATCGTCTAGGAAACTCTGGAGCTGGGAGGCGACCACCCGCTCCAGCACCTTGCCCAAAAAGGGGAGGTTAGAGATCGGTCTGTAATTATTCAGTACCGTGGAGTCAAGGGAAGCTTTTTTGAGGAGTGGACGAACCACAGCCTGCTTCAAGTTAGATGGAAAAATTCCTTGCTCCAACGATGCATTGATAATCGGTACAAACCAGTCAAGCAACCCCCCTCTGGCGGATTTAATGAGCCAAGATGGGCATGGGTCAAGAGATGAGGTGGTCGCTCTCACAGCCCCAAGAATCCCCTCCACGGTTTCAGGAAGAACAAGCCTAAAAGAATCCCACAAGATTGGACAAGCAGATGCCTCCGTCACCTCTCCTGGCACTGCGATGGAATTGGAGTCGAGCTCAAGCCGTATCTGGGCGACTTTACCTGCAAAATGGTGTGCGAAATCGCAACACCGAGCTGCAGGGTCATCAGTAACCTCCTCCACCACAGGTGGGTGGAGGAGTTCCCCCACGACCCGAAACAGCTCCGATGATCTATTTGTTGCAGATGCTATACGGGTGGTCGTGAATGATTTCCTGGCCACCCGTATAGCCACGGAGTATGCCTTAAGAGAGGCTTTAGCCCGTGCTCGATCAGACACTTCCCGAGATTTCCTCCATTTGCGCTCTAGCCCCCTTCTCGTATGCTTCATCACAGCCAGCTCCTCGGTGAACCAAGGAGATGGCCTGTCACGACGCAACGAGATGGGGCGTTCAGGTGCGATCGTATCTAACGCCCTGGACATCTCCCCATTATAGAGAGCTACCAAGGCGTCGATAGAATCGCCAGGCTCCGTGGCAGGAAGAACCCTAAGATTCCTCAGGAATCCATCCGGATCCATCAGTCTCCTAGGGCGGACCATCTTAATTTGTCCTCCACCCCTGCGGAGGTTTAGGGTCGCAGCAAGTCTAAAAGTGATCAGATGATGATCAGACCATGACACCGGAAGGATGTTTTGATCTTCCACTCTAATCATTTCGTTGTCCGCCACGAAAACAAGGTCAAGAGTATGTCCAGCTTGATGAGTGGGACCGGATATTATTTGTGACAGTCCTATGGCCGTCATGGTGGCCATAAAGTCCTGAGCTGCGCCAGATAGGGTGGTCTCAGCGTGGATGTTAAAATCTCCCAACACCACAAAGCGCTGGGAAACCAAGGCCGAATTGGAGACCACCTCCGCGCTGGGAGATCAAGGCCGAATTAGAGACCACCTCCGCTAGCTCAGACAGGGAAGCTACTGGGTCACGGGGTGGGGTGGTAGTGCATAGGAATTCATTCATGTTTTTTTTCAAATTATAATCTGGCCCTCCAACAGTTTGAGGAACTGTGACCCGGCCCTCTGTTTAAAAAGTTTGTGGACCGCCTGTATGGTAAAATGGGCCGAAAATATAAGAAGGCCCATTCATTTTAGGGAGTGGGAAATGATATGGAATAAAAAATTGAAATACACGTATGCCATGGATTTAAAAGAAAATTGGTATAAAATGTTTTATAGATGGTATTTGACACCGAATAAACTTAGTCATATGTATCAAAATGTATCAGATAAATGTTGGAAATGTAGTGAACAAGTAGGTACTTTTTACCATATGTGGTGGACATGTAAAGAGGCATCTAAGTTCTGGTCAAATATACATGAGGAGATGCAAAGAATACTGAAAAAAAGGTTTAAAAAGAAATCTGAATATTATCTCTTGGGATTTACAGACTCCGACTTTGAATTGGAGGAGAATGAAGATAAACTATTTACATATTGTACAACAGCGGCTAGGATAGTTTTTGCTAAACTCTGGAAGAGCGATGGTGTCCCAACAATAGAAGAGTGGTGGAAGAAAATTAAAGAAATCAGAGATATGGATGAACTAACTTTCCTGTTGAGAAGGAATAATGGAAAAACTATGAGGAGGACAGATTGGTCCCCAGTATATGACTATGAAAAGAAATCGGAAAAAATATTAGGATAAGAATAGTCTAATAAGGAGAAGAAAATCTGAGAAGATCCTGAGGTTGGAGTGGAAGTCATTTTAGAATAGTCTAAGTAGTTGTTTTGTTTGTATTAGGTGTGTGTTGTATATTGATTGTGTTTTTTTTTTTTTTTTTTTCTTTTCTTTTCTTTTGATGGGTCTTTCCTTTTCCTTCTATTGTCTTCTTTTTTCTTTTCTTTTCTTGATAGAGGTCTTTCTTTGTCCTTTGCCCAACCTCCTTAATCTTTCTTTGATATTGTTCCCCCCTCTTTTTTCCCCCCTCTTTCCTTGCAACTATGCTCTTTGAAATATTCCAGTAAGAAAATTAAAAAAAATTAAAAAAAAAAAAAAAAAAAAAAAAAAAAAGTTTGTGGACCCCTGAGTTAAAGGTTTTCCTCCCCACTTTAATAGAATATAACTACTGGAGGCCCAGGTGTTGGCTGTGGCTGGGAGGGCCTTCGCACAGTTAAAGTTTGCTGGCCAGCTGCAGCCATACCTTAAAAGCCGATCTGGCCATGGTAGTACATGCCTTACTCACATCCAGATTAAATTACTGTAATGCGCTCTACGTGGGGCTACCCCAGAAGAGCGTTCAGAAACTTCAACTGGTACAAAGGTGAGCAGCTAGACTGCCCACAGGAGTAGGGTATAGGGAAATAACTATCCCGCTCCTGAAGCAGCTTCACTGGCTTCCAGTCTGTTTCCGGACACAATTCAAGGTGCTTACTTTAGCCTATAAAGCCCTGAACAGTTTGGGCTCAGTCTACTTGAGGGACCATATCTCCTTCTACCCCACACAAGGCCTGAGATCATCTGTCGGTCCCACCACAAGTACAGTTGGTGGGAATGAGAGAGAGGGTCTTTTCGGTGATGGTCACACAGCTGTGGAACCCCCTCCCCAAAGAGATGCGTTCGGACCCCTCGTTATTGGCCTTTTGCTCCCATGTTAAAACCTTTCCGTGGAAGCAGGTCTTTCCTGACAACCCATAATAAGAAATGGCTAGACAGCTAGTGATTACTGCCAAGACACACCACTGAAGGCTAGCTCGGTCTGGCAAGGTTCACACAGTTAAAGAGGCGGAGCTTCAAGGATTTTTAGTATACTGCTTTAAGGACAGCCTCAGCGGCCTGAGGCTCAGGGATTTTTAATGATAAATGTAATTCTTTTTTATGCTTGTTTTATATGGTTTATGCAATATGTTTTTGTTTATTTGTTTTGGTTGGGAGGGAATGATGTTGTGCTCTTGTATTATGTAATTTTTGTTTTTTTAACCATTTGTTCACTGCTTTGAGTCTCACCAATGGGAGAAAAGCAGGATATAACAATAATAATAATAACTAAATTTATTTCCGTTTTGAAATTGGACATCGACAGTATCCTAAGGCCATAGGATGTTTTGAATCTCCCCCCAAAGGGAAGAGGGAAAGAGAGTCTGAGCACTAAGAGGGAGATCAGCAACATGCCTTCCCCTCCAAATCCACAACAGAATTTCCCATGGCTCTTGTTTCTCTGGCATGGGTGAAAACAAAATGCTAGTATTTGTGAGAAAACCCTGGGGCACAGAAATAATGGGTATCTCATTCTCCAAAAGCTCCCTGGAAGAAAAGGAAAGTGAAAGCACCCCTGAAGATGGCATACATAATTGTCTTTATATTGCAATCAGCATTAGGGAAATTGCAGAAATGTGAAGAAAAGGAGGAAAAAAATAGCAAAATATGGAAATTTATTTATTTATTTGAAGCATTTATGCACTTTATAGGTTTTTAGTCTGTTTTACTGTTCTAGGTGTTTTGTTTTATAGTTTGATATGTTTTTTATTGTTATGTTTATATGAGGCATTGAATTTTTGCTGGAGTTTGTAAGCTGTGTTGAGTTCCCTGTGGGGTGAGAAAGGTGGGGTATAAACAAAGTAAATAAATAAATAAATAAATAAATGATGAATAAGCAGAATAATAGTAATACTGGAGACAAAAAAATCTTTGTTTGTTTTTTAAAATTAGGGCATTTGTTTGCTTAAAATTAAATTCTGAATCACCCTGATCCTTCCATATTAGAAAGTAGGGTAAAATTATTTTGAACACATAGGCTGGTTCAGCTGGCTGTGTTTCTCAGCTAATGAGTGCAGCGCCACAGGAAAGCTATTTTTATCTCCTCAAGTCACCCCATGCACAGTATTTATCAACAGAGTCAGTTCAAACACTGAGCTCTGAGTGATCAGGGATAGGCCAGTCAAGTCATATAGGCCTACGCATGAATAATCCAGGATCTGGAGGCCACAGAACTACACAGGTGGAAGGCATCTTAGTCCAAACTTAGTCTCATTCTGGCTCATTGCAGGAATCAGATGAGTAACTCCTACTGAAATACTTTCTGTGAAGGAAAGCCACCGCTTTTTGGCAGCAGTCTGCTCCACACAAAAAAATGTCTAAAGACTGTTATCATGCCAAAAGACAACAAAAAGTTATCAAAAGACAACCTGGCAAAATGGCACTACCTAGAAGAATCCTCCAGCTTCTGTGACTGTGGAGCAGAACAAACAACTCTGCATCTGTATGCTTGTCCACAATACCCTGCCTCATGCACAGAGGAAGAATTGTTTAAAACTACAGACAATGCGGTTGCTGTTGCCTGCTTTTGGTCAAAAACTATTTAGTCACTTGTGCTCCTTCTATTATTATCAATTTTATACTTGGTTCTTGTGGGTTTTTTCGGGCTATAGAGCCATGTTCTAGAGGCATTTCTCCTGACGTTTCGCCTGCATCTATGGCAAGCATCCTCAGAGGTTGAGAATTTTATATTTATTTATGCAATGCTTTTGACACAAAATAAATAAAAAAACCATGCCAAGTCCAAATCATTGCATCAATGCAGAATTTAAATAAAGTCTCTCTGGCTATCTTGTATATAAATACAAGGCTTAATTTATCACTTTAAGTTTTTCCTGCTCCAAACCTGTCAAGTTTATTTTGAAATAGGATGATGTTTCCTATGGCACTCACCTGAGTAATCAAAAAGAAACTCAGATTAAAGTTTGACTTTCTTTATAATACATCAAAACTCTTCACACATCTCTGGAATTTAGTCTTACACTTGTAACTGATTTTACAAACAGCGAAAGCTGACTTGTGGAGTTTTGCTAGCCTAACTAAAAATACAAAGGAAACAGAGAAGGAGGACAGGGAACCAACTTACTTCCAAAATCAGAAATTACCTGTATAGCACGGATGATGAGACAGAAGAGATCCTTGAATGTTTTTAAATGACTATCCCTGCAATATGTACTAATTAGGAGCAATGAGATGGCAAATAAAGCAAGCAAGCATGCATAAAATGATTAAAAATTATTACCCAAAATTATAATTGAGATGTGCAATTATAAAATATATAAAAATAGAAGATTAAATATGATCCAGATTATAAAAGCAGAGAATCCACATTATCTGCTTTGAACTGGATTATGTGACTCTACATTGCCATATAAACCAGTTCAAAGGAGATAATCTGGATTTTATATGACAGTGTAGAACTGCAGTACAAAGAAGTACTTAGAACTGCAGTACAAAAAAGTGGACAGTACCCTTGTTGCTGGTATATGTCTGAAAAGGAGAATGAACAATCCTACTCACCTGTTTAGGGGGATCCCTGGAATCCACGTAAACGTCTTTTAATAGAGTATGAAGGTGTTGATCTTTTTTTGTAACCTCTTCCTGGAATTCAATCGAGCCTAGCAGAAAACATTAACAATGCAAATCTTTAATTATTTGTCATTTCCCCCTAGATGTTATAATTCTTCCAGAAATTATAGGGAAATCGTTTGGTTTAAGTGTTGGGAATACGACCCTTGAAAACCATGGTTTAAATTCCTTCCTCTTTGTGGAAAACTACTGGATGACCCAGAGATACTAGCAGTAACAACTTAGTAAATGAGAGTCCAAAAGTGGCAGGCTAAAACCTGGAACATCAATTTGTGGCTGAAACCAGATGAGATACTCTCCCCTGGTCACACAGATGGCTGGGCAACTTGGAAGGCGCTGACCAGACTGTGCTCTGGCACCACAAGATGCAGAACCAAGAAATGGCCTACAAAGTAGAGTCCATGACATGCAAGTGTGGAGAAGAGCAAACCACAGACTATTTACTACAATGCAACCTGAGTCCTGCCACATGCACAATGGAGGGCCTTCTCACAGCGACACCAGAGGCACTCCAAGTGGCCAGCTTCTGGTTAAAGAATATCTAGTATAATGCCAAGTTTTTAACTTTGTTTGCGATCTTTTTTAAATACATTATAACTGTACCCTCATATTGCTTCTGACACGATTAATAAATAGCCAAAGGCCCCTTCTATGCTGTCATATAATCCAGATTATCAAAGCAGAAAAACCACATTAACTACTTTGAATTGGGTTATATGAGTCTATACTGGCATATAATCCAGTTCAAATCAGATAACCTGGATTTTATATGGCAGTGCAGAAGGGGCCTTAGAAGAAGGCAAGGGCACACATACAGTGAAAAAAACCCTCTGGTATGATCACTCTAGGGTTACCATAAATTTGGAAGTTACTTGAAGGTATATGACACAAACAAGTTCATATAAATAGAGGCAGTGTAACTAAATCAGTACAATGCCATTTTCAGAAGTCTTGTTAACAACACACACCTCCCCTAATATAGCACCATTTGGAGCATTGGTTTTGAATTTCACCTTTATTCATACTCTAATCATGCACACAAATTGTTCTTCACTGGACTGTTGGCAGTTCAAAGTTTTTTACAAAGGTCCCTTCATCACCTCCTTATAATCCAGTTTCTGAATCCAGATTATCTGCTTTGAATTGGATTATATGGCAGTGTAGACTCATACAGCCAGTTCAAAGGAGGCGATCTGGATTCAGAAACTGGATTATATGGCAGTGTAGATCCGGCCACGGTCATTTTGAGAGGCCAGAATGACAGAGAAGGCATGAAAGAGAATAACTGATCAGAGGGTTAGCAGAAAAGCCATATAATTTCCCCTCTGGCCATAACTAGGTCCATCAAAATTAAATTTTGCTAGATCGCCTAGTAATAAATGTTTCTTCTTCAACCACTTATTCATGACATTTCCATCCTGGATATACGTTCCCTCATTCTGTCCCCATAGCTTTAAAATGTCCAAACTATTTGGTGGTTTTACACTTCTGAAATTGTTACATTGCTTCCTACCACTTATCGTATTTGTATGCTGCTCTGAAGTAGTGAGATGCACAGTGAGAAATAAATATTTTATTAAATTAAAAGACATAACAAAATAAATAAATAGAGGGTTTATTATCCTGGCTGAATAAGATATCCACATTTTTATATTCTCTAGTGATTTTACTTTGTTGTTGATGTTTTTACTAACTAGGGAGAGCAGCCAATTCCTTAGAGAGCCCTGTACAAACTCCTTCTTTCATTTGGAAAAGATCTAAAAATCTGTAAAATATCGGGAATTGCAAGCCTCATTTAAGAGTAGATCTATTGAATTGAGTAAATTCACAATGTCCTGAATGACCAGATTTATAATTAATACAGACTTTACAATAAGATTTGTGCAATGATTACAAAAAAGAAAGCAGCAGGATAAAAAAAAGCATATGGTGGGTATGTATGGAGAGGACAGGATGCTGGAGCTTAGAGAGCAAGTTACAAGCAAGATAGGTTCTGGGGGCCCTTCCACACAGCCCTATATCCAAGAATATCAAGGCAGGAAATCCCACATTATCTGAGTGTGGACTCAGATAACTCATTTCAAAGCAAATATTGTGGGACTTTCGGCCTTGATATTCTGGGATTAAGGGCTGCGTGGAAGGGCCCTAGGACGTCTTCAAACTACGGGAAAGGACATTTTACCTGAACATTAGGAAGAACTTCCTGACTGTGAGTGCTGTTCAGCCGTGGAACTCTCTGCCCCAGAGTGTGGTGGAATCTCCTTCTTTGGAGGCTTTTAAACAGAGGCTGGATGGCCATCTCTCAGAGGTACTTTGAATGTGATTTTGCTGATCTTGACAGGGGGTTGGACTGGATGGCCCACGAGATTTCTTCCAAGGTTTAGCTGAGACACCTTTTCCCCATTCAAATTCTTTCAGGACTGAATTTCCCTTCCAAGGGGTAGATTTCTCTCACTTCCTTTTGTCTCACCCCGTTCTTAACTATGAGTAATTTGTAAGTCAGATGTTTGTAACTTGGGGACTTGCTGCACATAGTTAGTTGCATCCATCTACTGAATAGATGCAAGTCATCTATCCCAAAATTTGGAAAGACTGAACACTCTGGGCAGGCATGTAGGGGGGGGGGGCTGAGGGGCTTCAGCCCCCCCCCCCAAATTCTCATGGTGGTTCGCGAGAAGGCCTTACTGGTACATTATTTAAACTGTTATGTTTATTCATATCATGATCTGATCACCATGTTCAATATATCCCATGTGAATGGTGGTATTGGGATAACGATACAAAAGGTTTGCTAGGGTAGATCCTCATCCACCCCCAATCAAACTCAGCCCACCCCCACCCCCGAATTAAAATCCTGGCTACGGGCCTGACTCCGGGACGGGTTGCAACTGATGGAAATAGCTGCAGATGGCTCTCAGACCACAACTCCCAGCCTGCAAATCTCTCCTTCAATGACGCATGCGCTTTGCAATGGGCCTTAGGCAGGGAAAGGGGAGGGGCAAAGGGCAGCATTGCTTCCAGAAGATCCTGGACACCAAAAGGAAAACTTCAATGTCAAAAGGATTTTCTACCCTGCCAATATGGCCACCTCCCTTCCCTATGCAATCACCTTCACACAAACCAGTAGGGTTGCCATTATAAAAACTGGAAATGGCTCACATACCTTTAATATTTGTGTTGGAAAGTCAACCTCAGTGTTTCAAGGTACACTGGCTGAAATGCCCTCCTCTTAAAGGCACAGAAGCCCCCATTAAAGGTACTGAAGTTGGCTTCAACCTAGCAGCAACCCATAGTGAAAATGTGGACTGTGTGGATGATCAATTGGCTTCATCACACTATAGAATGAATCCACTTTAAATCCGGTTGCTGAAGAATTCTGGGGTTTGCAGTTTATGGAGGAGCATTTAACAGCCTCACTAAAATACAAACCCCAGAATTCTGTAGGAGCAGAAACTGGATTTAGAGTGGATTTATTCTCTAGTGTGATGTATATGTGTGAAGAATGAATGCAGGGTGACACTTTAACAATTATGGCCCCCTCCTAAGGGGATGCTGGGAGTTGTAGTTTGCGGAGGCAACAATGGAATCATAGAGTGGGAAGAGACCTCATGGGCCATCCCTGCCAAGAAACAGGAATATTGCATTCAAAGCACCCCTGACCATCCAGCCTCTGTTTAAAAGCTTTCAAAGAAGGAGCGTCCTCCACATTCTGGGGCAGAGAGTTCCACTGCTGAACAGCTCTCACAGTTAGGAAGCTCTTCCTAATGTTCAGGTGGAATCTCCTTTCTTGTAGTTTGAAGCCATTGTTCTGCGTCCTAGTCTCCAGGGAAGCAGAAAACAAACTTGCTCCCTTCTCCCTATACATGGCTATCATATCACCTCTCAGCCTTCTCTTCTTCAGGCTAAACATGCCCAGCTCTTTAAGCCGCTCCTCATAGGGATTGCTCTCCAGACCCTTGATCATTTTAGTCATCCTCCTCTGGACACATTCCAGCTTGTCAACATCTCCCTTCAATTGTGGTGCCCAGAATGGGACACAATGATGGCCAAAGACCTTGAAAAACTGCAGCTCGGTTGATTCCACTGCATTCAGCCTTGGCAGTTTAGGTGGAGGGGTCAAACTGCATTAATGATGCAGTGTAGATGTAGGCTTGTTTGCAATTCATTACCTACTGCATGCAAAGTCAAAGCAATGGGAGAGAAAAAGGAACAGTGCAGAAATCTAAGCGCCAACCCACTCTGCAGAGCTGCTGAATCTACCTACACCAGGCTTGGGCAAGCTTGGGCCCTCCAGGCGTTTTGGACTCCAACTCCCACAATTCTTAACAGCCTACCGGCTGTTAGGAATTGTGGGAGTTGAAGTCCAAAACACCTGGAGGGCCTCAACCTCCCTCAGCGTGACTCACTTGGCTGCTGCTTGGCGGCGGCGGCGGGGAGGGGGTGCCTGGGGGCGGGCGCGGGCTTGGCCTTCCCGATCTCGCGGTGCGCGCGGCTCTCCAGGTTGAACTGGCCGAGCACGCGGCTCACCCTCGCGCCCATCATCCCGGTCCCGGCACAACGCCGGCCACGCCCCTTCCTTCCTGCCTCCAAAGGGCTCCTCCTCTTCCTCCTCCTCCTCCGCTTCTGTGCGCATTGAGGCTCTCGGGCGACGCCTAGCGGACGGAGGCCGAGCCACAGGCAGGCTCTATTACAGCAGCCAGGAGAATGACTTTGGACTGCTCTCAAGACTATGAAATGCTGGGAGTTGTAGTTGTGCACGGTCTTTAGCCTCCTCTGGCTTTCTGGAAATTGCAACCTTCTTCCAGCTTCCTATACTAGTTATTTGTTATGTATATAATTTGAATTGCTTACTGTATTGTATATGTGTGTTTGTATACAGCAACGTTTCTCAATCTGGGGGTCATGAGGGGGGAGTCAGGGGACCATCCAAAAACGCAATATTTTCTATTGGTCACGGGGGTTCTGTGTAGGAAGTTTGGTCCAAATCTATCGTTGGTGGGGTTCAGAATGCTATTTGATTGTCGGTGAACTATAAAACCCAGAAACTGCAAGTCTCAAATGTCAAGGTCTATTTTATTTATTTATTTATTTTATTTATTTGATACACTTGTATACCGCTAATATCTCAGCCTGGAACGGCGACTCATTGCGGTTTACAGCAGTTAAAACAATCTACAATTTAAAAACATATACACATACAATAACAAATTATTGGGCCACCAATAATAATCCCATATAATAACAAATTATTGGGCCACCAATAATAATCCCATATATCTCGAGTTGAAATCGCAATCCAGAATTCGTTGTCCATGTTTCCTGTCCTTAGTCATCAATATTCGAATTGCCACAGATTAGCCGAATGCTTGTTTGAACAGCCAAGTTTTGAGTCTCTTCCTAAACACCATCAGCGAAGAGGCTGATCGTACCTCTATAGGGAGGGCGTTCCAAAGCCGGGGGGCCACCACAGAGAAGGCCCTGTCTCTCGTTCCCGCCAGCCGCACTTCTGAAGCTGGAGGGATAGAGAGAAGGGACTCTCCAGAAGATCTTAGGGTCCTGGTGGGCTGATAGGCTGAGATACGTTCGGATAGATAAGTTGGGCCAGAACCGTTTAGGGCTTTAAAGGCCAACGCCAGCACTTTGAATTGAGCCCGGTAGCATATCGGCAGCCAGTGGAGCTGGTTCAGCAAGGGAGTTGTATGCTCCCTGCGCCCCGCTCCTGTTAGAATCATGGCTGCCACCCGTTGGACTAACTGGAGCTTCCGGACTGTCTTCAAAGGCAACCCCACGTAGAGAGCGTTGCAGTAATCAAGGCGGGATGTAACCAGAGCGTGGACTACCGTGGCTAAGTCAGACTTCCCAAGGTACGGTCGCAGTTGGCGCACAAGTTTTAACTGTGCGAATGCTCCCCTGGTCACCGCCGAAACCTGGGGTTCCAGGCTCAGCGATGAGTCCAGGATCACACCCAAACTGCGAACCTGCGTCTTCAGGGGGAGTGCGACCCCGTCTAACACAGGCTGTAACCCTATACCCTGTTCGGCCTTACGACTAACCAGGAGTACCTCTGTCTTGTCTGGATTCAATTTCAATTTGTTCGCCCTCATCCAGACCGTCACAGCGGCCAGGCACCGGTTCAGGACCTTGACAGCCTCCTTAGTAGCAGGTGGAAAGGAGTGACAGAGTTGGACATCATCTGCGTACAGATGACATCGCACTCCGAAACTCCGGATGATCTCGCCCAGCGGCTTCATGTAGATGTTAAACAACATGGGAGACAGTATTGAACCCTGAGGAACCCCACAAGACAAAGGTTGTGGGGTTGAACAGGAGTCTCCCAATAACACCATCTGAGACTGACCCTCGAGGAATGAGCGGAGCCACTGCAAAACAGTACCTCCAAGTCCCATCCCCGCGAGGCGTCCCAGAAGGATACCGTGGTCGACGGTATCGAAGGCCGCTGAGAGGTCGAGCAGCACCAACAGGGACACACTCCCCCTGTCGAGCTCCCGACGCAGATCATCCACTAAGGCGACCAGGGCTGTCTCGGTACCATGCCCCGGCCTAAAGCCAGACTGTGCCGGGTCTAGATAATCCGTGTCTACCAAGAATGCCTGGAGTTGTGAGGCCACCACACGTTCCATGACTTTGCCCAAAAAGGGGAGATTGGAAACAGGCCGATAGTTGACGAATTGAGTGGGGTCCAGTGATGGCTTCTTCAACAGCGGTTTTATTACAGCTTGCTTTAAGCTGGCTGGAATTTTGCCTTCCCGAAGGGAGGCATTCACCACCACCTTCACCCACTCGGCCAAACCCCCTCTGGCCTCTTTTAGAAGCCAGGATGGGCAGGGGTCTAGGATGCATGTAGTAGCTCTCATTCCTCCAAGCACCTTGTCCACATCCTCGGATTGAACCAATTGAAATGAATCCATCAAAACCGGACAAGCAGGTGCTCGGGTTACATCCTCAGATACTGCCGTTAATATGGTATCCAGTCCAGAGCGGATCAAAGCGACTTTGTCTGCGAAGAACCGAGCAAAAGCTTCGCAGCGAGCCGCCGAGTCATCAGGGCACCCATCCTGAGTGGTGGGTTTTAATAAGCCTCTGACAACTCGGAACAGTTCAGCCGGACGGTTCTTCGCAGACGCAATAGTGGCCGCGAAGAAAATTTTCTTTGCGGCCTTTATTGCCGCGGCATATGCCCTTAAAAAGGACACAAACCGTGTTCGGTTTGGCTCGCTCGGATCCGAACGCCACACGCTCTCTAGTTCCCTCTTCTTTCGCTTCAACGCCGCCAGCTCCTCAGTAAACCAAGGAGCTGGTTTGGCTCGGCTACTTGAGAGGGGACGTTCTGGAGCGATCGTGTCTATTGCCCTAGTCATCTCCCCATTCCAGAGAGCGACCAGGGCATCAACAGGATCACACCAACCGAGGTGGCGGGAAATTCCCCAAGAGCCGTCAGGAATCCATCCGGATCCATAAGCCTCCTGGGGCGGACCAACTTAATGGGTCCTCCACCTCTGCGGAGGTTAGGGGGTGCAGTGAGTCTAAAGCTGACCAGGTGGTGGTCGGTCCATGGCAACGGAGAGATGGATAACTCCTCAACACCGCCACCTTCCTCCCATCCCTGGCAGAAAACCAAGTCCAATGTATGTCCAGCACTGTGGGTGGGGCCAGATACTTGTTGGGACAGCCCCATGGTTGCCATGGTAGACATGAAGTCCTGAGCCGCTCCCGATGAGGCGGACTCGGCGTGGATATTGAAGTCCCCCAGCACAAGCAGCCGTTGGGACTCCAACACCAGGTCCGAGACCACCCCCGCTAGCTCAGTCAGGGAGTCTGTAGTGCAGCGAGGTGGACGGTACACTAACAGAATCCCTAATCTGTCCCGGTCACCCACCCTCAGGTGGACGCATTCAAAATTTGTTGACTGCGGGATGGGGGCCCTGGTCAGAAGAATGGAATCTCTATAGACCACTGCAACTCCGCCTCCCCGCCCTCCGGATCTCTGTTGGTGCTGCACAGAGAAACCTGGTGGGCAAAGCTGGGTTAAATTTACACCTCCGCTTCGTCCAACCAGGTCTCTGTGATGCACGCCAGATCTGCCCGTTCATCCAGAATTAAATCCTGGATGAAAGTTGTTTTACCGTTGACAGATCTGGCGTTCAACAGCACCACTTTCAATCCAGAGTTTTTAAAGTTATTTATTTATTTATTTATTCACTTGTATACCGCTAATATCTCAGCCTAGATTAAATCCTGGATGAAAGTTGTTTTACCGTTGACAGATCTGGCGTTCAACAGCACCACTTTCAATTCGGAGGGACCGCCATCCTGGTTACACCAACTTACCATATCAGGAGACCGATTTGGAATTACTAATGTTGTTCCCCGTTCCCTAGGTCGAATTAAAGGTCTCCCTTTCCCGTATCTCCCCCTCCCCACCACGACTTCTATGGGGGCTCCCCGGTTAACGGAACCCCCTCCCTCCTCCATGACGCAGTGAGCAGCCAGTGTATCAACAAACAATGCATTATTAGCTGTTTGACGTATTGTGGTTACAGAGTGCCATAAACCTGTCCTCCATCCGTTTCCTACTCCCGTTTTATAATGCTCAAATCCCGTTGGCCTACTCCGTTCCCTCTCTCCAGCATAAACAATCAACAACAAGGTTAACAAGTACCGGGGGAAGGGTGATGACATGGATGGTAGGTATTAAGGCCTATCGGGAGAGTATTCCTAAAGTTTTTAATACGAATGGGTCATACAAGATGGAATAAGTAATTAAAGTGCAATTGTTTTCTCAATCCGCTCTAAAGTGCTGGAATAAAGTGCGTCATGGAGGGCCTCGAATTCGATGCTAAATGGTGCGTTAAAACAGATTAAAGTGCTGAAGCTCACAGGTTGTTAGTTCAGATACCACAGAGATGATGATAATGGTAATAAAACTACAATTAAAGTGCTAAACAGGTCAGGGCTAAAGTACTCGTCAACAGTAGCACTATTAGTTCTTAAAATCTTCTCCGGTCACTAATATAGGTGTTCTTATTAGTGTAATGAGAATGGTCAGCACAGTTAGCAGCAATTCACAGAATCAGAAGAGATCGACACAGCAGAATAATCAGCATACTCTGTGGCAGGTTACAATCGAAGGGATAACACAGAAGGATTCAGGAAATGGACAACACAATCTGACAAAGTTCTATCAAAAATGGGAACCGGCAAAATACTACAATAATCGGGCCCAAAGATGGTCAATACAGTCTTTCCGGAATTAATAATTAGCAAATGAGAGGTGACAAACTCATATGATGGCAATCTCGTATGATGGCGGGAGGTTACCCACTTCTAGGCAAGATGGTCAGTTGCCCGCGGCTAAGTATACTGTTTGTTATCCAAAGGGGTTAATCACTCCCAACTAACCAGATTTAAAGTGGCTTAGTGCTAATGGTAATCCTAAGGTGCCAAATTGGTGCCTTCTGACTTGAGTCCAGTATTAATAGTCAGTCAGGACGATAATTTCAAAGACCAAGGGACCCAGCTCCCTGGACCCGTGAAGAACAAACCGGCGCCGTTGGGCCCAG